TGCAGGATGCGGCCCTCTTTCCTGATTCACAACATGGAAACAGTTGAGATCATCAACCCATAACAAAAATATGAAATTGCTGGGTATGAAAAGAAGAATACAATCATGTCACCAATATTGACTCCAGTGTCCATTCAGGGACCTATATACTGTCCCTGGTCCAGCCTACCTCTTTGAACTTTGTGCTTGAGTCCTTACATTGAAACAGTTGAGAACCCCATCTATAACCATATAAATACACTTCTGAATCCAGGATTGGCTCTATGGTCTGGCCTCATCACTGGACACTCTGTGGTCTGGCCTCATCACTGGACACTCTGTGTATCATACAATAGAAACAATTTAAATCCCTAACCTTTATACTGCCTAGGCCTATATCCATAATTTACACCGGACTGAAGAGACCGATACATTCAGTTATGCTACCGAGATAGTATACAGGGTCCTTAGTCCTCTTTTTTGGGAGATTGAGATAAACGGTTTTCAATGGTAAGCAAAGCAAGTTGAGAGTTTTTATGTGAGGGATCTATAACAGATATAGCCTCACAATTACAATGTTGTTTGAGGATTAACAAATACGTGTTACCACGGAATGAGATTAGATTGTTATCTAAGTCCGTGGTACAGAATTTGAATTCACACCTTAATTACATGCAATCTCGCTCATGAAAAGGGGCTGTCAACAGGACACAGACTCAAAAATGAAACTTCCAAAGAATGTTATTTCTTCAGATTTTGGTTACACGGCCCAATATGACAATTGTTCTACATTTTACAGGTACTTTTTTCAAATTGTACTTCAAGTATACAACATTTATATAGCGCCCTGTATAATTTGTAAAATTACTCTAAGGCGCTTTACAACATATGGATAATGGTAATGGTTATAATTGTGAAAACAAACAACAAAGGCTTGCAATCACTTTAACAAGCAATGTGCACATCATTGAACAAATAAAAGGGTGGTATTTACATGACGTCTTTGCAAAGATTATAAAATGCAGACGTGAAGAGGTGAGTTTTTATGTCCCTCTTGAACTTGGCCAGGGTATTTGACTTCCTAATAGCAGATGGTAAGCTATTCCACAACGTAGCCGAAACCCTCCCAAAGCATCTGTTTCCGTAGGTCACAGTACGAGATTTTGGGACACACAACAAAGATTCTGACTCCGACCGCAGTGATCTTGACGGCTGATACAGGGTAACAAG